AATAAAAAGTTTAAACTTTTAACGAAAAAATAAATTAGCTATTAATTATTTAAAAAAAAAATAAAGCGGAGCAAATTCAAATAAATTACAGTTGCATTTTTCTTCTTAAACACAAAGCTACGCATTTTCTAAAACTAAACCACAAAAGAGTAGTTTTGGACGATGTTGTGGCAAAAAAAGTTTTCATTTCTTCATTTCAATCTTTTGTAGTTATTTTAGGTGCTCCCCGAATCTTTACAGTCTTATCACAGAACACCGCGGAAAAGCATTTAAGAAGAAGTTTGCGCCTCCTTTCGTACCAATGTCGCTTGTTGAATTGGAGCTCGCGTTGAACCTCGGACCACTGGGATCTGAGCCAGAGCTCTAACCACTGCGCCACGGCTGCTCAGGTATCTGTCATGTCTATAATTAAATCTATTTTTATCTGTTATATAGTTAAGTAATTTTCTATTGCTTGTGTGTTTATTCACCCGTGAGTTACCCGGGTGTTATTCATCTGCAAACTATTCAGTGCATGTTTGTGTTCTTTCTGAACCTCCGGCGCAATGTTTTATTTCTCGTAACTTAATATTTGTATGTTTTCTGCTCAAATTACTGGCGTCTTGTTAGTCCAGTTACCAACCAGTGACTAGAACTATATAACTTACGCTCACTTTAATTTCCTTAAGGAATAATAAATATTAAATCTAAAGCTTTAGGTTTTTTTTTTTTTTTATTAATGCATTCCAAAATTATCTTGTTGAATGTTCTAAAGTACTGCTTATAGAAGAAACTTCTTTTAACTACTTTATGTCAAGTTTAAGGTCATCACAATCACCCTGGTACAGACAACCTGTAACCCTGTACAACCTGCCCTATATCCTGCAGCCTTGTAGTGAACAAACTGTCGAAACTTCTCATCAAGACTTTTATCAACATTGGTTGAGGTATAAGCAAAATAATAATCATCTAGAGTACAAAGAAAGATTGTTGCGCTGCATAATTGATCTAAACAGTAAGCATCTTTAAAGAACATCATTTGAGTTATAAGAAATTAGGCTGCTAAAATTTATATTTTACGGCGTATAATGAATATTTTCACCATCTTTAAAAGTAGTATTATAAAGTATTTGTATTAGCAGAGTACATTGAGCTATTTATTAATAATCTTTCGGTGGAGAAAATCAAAAAACATTTCTTAAAATGTAGTTAGATATTTGATGGTAATACAATGTAAAAAATAGGGTTTAAATAGTTTTCACTTCATTTTAAAAGTAAATGTATTTAAGGAGGTCAATACAAAATATATTAGATCTTTTTTTTTTTTGTTTTACTAACTGGTAGTACTTTAACCAGGCTTTTTTTTTAGATTTTTTTTGGCAGCAGTGTATACCTTAGGAAATGTTGGTATATTCAAGCGAAGCATGCATGGCCGTCAACGCCGGGGAGGCTAAAGGGTTATGTCCTTCTCTACTTTTTTTTTGCGAGGACCTTTTGTTTTAGAAATGTATGTAATTATTTTAGAAATAATGGATTTTATTTAAAAAATTGAGGGATTGACCCCCTCTACTCTGAAGGTCGTGTCGACACTATTAGCATAAGACTATTTAAATCACGCTTTAAGTAGAAAATCACTATTTTGGTCTATAAAATGAAAACTCTACATGTACCGATAAAATAATTATAATAAAAATTGTTGGTATTACATAGTAGAACACTCATGTAACCGTTATTTTAAAAATAGTGACCGAATTTCAAAGTAATCGATAACGCTTTGAGGTATAAGTAGCAAAAAACTAACTAAAACTGCAATAAATCCTACACCAGTCATCCAATCAGGCTGAAATTTTGTCCAGAGTTTGGTGTGACTATTGGTTACATTTGCATCAATTTTTATTAAGTTATATGAAGTGGTTCAAATTCTACAAGTGTTTTTATCGGCGCACTATCAAGTCAAAACTTTACTCAATTTGAACATTCAAATTAAATTATTTTCGGCGGACAAAATTAAATGATTTCATGATAATCATGTAAAGTATAATAGAATGTTATTTAAATATCACAAATTTAAACAAATAAAATTCATAAATAATGTTTTAGAAAATTAAGGAAAATGAATGTTGTTTTTATAATACAATAATTTTATTCAAGTTTTTAAAATTTATTGGCATTAACATCTAAATTTATATATGACCTCAAAAAGATTTAAAAAAAAAAAAAAAACTTTGAATTAAGATGTTGCTAATTTTGTTATAAATTTGTTATAAACTTTTTCAATTCTTTTTCTTTGCATGCCGATTCAACATTTAGGCTTTTCATCAATTTATAACAGGATTTTTAAGATGAATTTAAACATCATTGTTCATTCATTTAGCATTGTTCCTAACAAATATATATTCAGCTTGTTTTAGATACTCCAACATAATTTAGGATGAACTAAAATGTTTACATAACAGTCGAACTCCCTATATTTTTATTTGTTGTGATCAAAAAACAACTCAAACAATGTTAGTAAATAATTATAAGACTTTGTCGTCTCTTGTAGAGAAACGTTAAACTTAAAAAGCTGTAAATATTTTATCTAAAAATAAACTTAAACATAAAAATAAATTTTTTATTTTAAAACGTATAACAGTAAAAAATAATAACAAGGAAGAGTAGGATAATGGTGAACGCGGGGTAGTTTTGAAGATGGTCAAACGGCATAATAGAAAACGATATTTGACAATTTTTTTTACCTGTTAAAAGGGGTAACCTACTCAATTCCAGACATGCAATATAATGATGAAGCTGTGGTTGTTGTTCACGATAAATTGATCCTAACTTTTTCTGATAATTTAATGCAACTTTTTGTTTGAGAAATATTCCTGTTGTAGCTACTATGGATTTCTTTTGTTGTTGTTGTTTCATAGTATCATAATGAAGGAGTTTTTAATACGCTTTATATTTTAGGTACACTAATATAACCTCAATATATTCATTTTAATAGCTAAAAAATGAAAGAATAATACTAAAACACTGTTGTTCTATTAAGTCTTGATCTCCCCATGGAAGACTGTATCGTGTGGTACAGTTATAAGGGGCCTAGCAAAAGTGTGCATATCCCCAGATTTTCTTTTTCTTTTTTACACTTGATTATTAGAGTTAGCATTTTGTTTTTAAAAAGATTTAGTCATTCATAATTTATTATAATCTTAATTTTTAAATCTTAATCATAATTTATTATAATCTTAGGATAAAAAGCTCATTAAAATAAACATCTGTACAAGACTTCATTGGATAAACACTTTTTTTTAATTGAGCTACCCACGTACACACTCTTTAGGACATTTTATTTTAATTATGAATGATTCATTTGCGTTCTGCGTTTCCCCATCAAAACATTTTTTATCTAACTTGTCTGCACCAATATTTTTGTGCAAAACATAGGTTTAAAAGTATTACTTCTGGAATGTTTATACTTTTTTTATAAATTAAAGCTTGATTAATTTTGCCACAATGACGTTTACACCACGTATTGCTATAATTGAGGCGTTCTTAATAATTGTTAATTTCAAATGAACTGCTATTACTATTTTCTTTTCTTACAAAATATTTTCATTTTGTTGTAAACTTGTTTGCAACAAAATAAAAATCTTATAAAGTTTCGCAACGTATCAAGGCCGACGACACGGGTTTTGAAGTAGGTGATGGGTACTATCATCATTTTGTGGAAAAAGTCCTTTATATCAAGATTTTTCTTTAAAAAAAAAAAGAAAAAAAAAGGTCCTTTAGAAAAAAAGTGGAGGGGGCACGCGCCCCCTGGCTCCCCGGTGTTATATTTATGGCTTTATCTGTCTTTTTTTTTTTTGGGCGAGTTTATTGCCATACTTTAAAATTTTATAAAAACGTTTAGCCTTCACAACTTACCTCGCAACCGCTGAACTTTTACGTAACAACCGTCGGAATTTGAACTTTATTCGATTTAATTGAAATACGTTATTACGTCATCTAGTTAACAAAATAATTTTGTTTTATAAGTTTACAAGATTTATAAATTTTGTTTACAATTTATAATTTAAAATTAAATTGTTTGCAAAAAACAGTGTTAATGATGCGCATTTTTTGTTATTTTATTTACGGAATAAGGATAACTTTTTTAAATTTTGGTGAAAGAAGCCCATGTGCCCCAGTCCAATTACGAAAATAAACTTTTTTACACTCCTATTATTAAAAAATGTAATAAAAAAAAGTTACAAAGTTAACCTCAATGAAAAGAAAAAGCGTAGCAGCCCATTTGACAAGTACTAAAGTGCCTTTAATATACTTCACTCGCGCCACACATCTTCACTCGGGCCACACACCCACCCAATAACACCTATCTTTGAAAAGTCGTCTAGCTTTTTAAATTTATACGCTGGTTACATTTCTAGCTTTTTAAATTTATACGCTGGTTACATTTATTTATTTTTTTTTATTATTTTTATTTTTCCTGCAACAAACTTCACAAAAAATAGAACTTTCGAATTAAAAAAGTATAAAACATTTTGTAATTTTTATTTGCTTTTGTTTGTTTGTTTTATAATAGAAAATTACTCTAATTTTTAAATTAAAATGTCAACAACAACAACAAAAGAAGTGAACGAAAAAAAATAAACAAATAAATGAAAATTACATTCTTGAAATCTCGAAAATTTTTTCTTCAAAATCAGAATTATTCTTAAACGATAAGTTATTGAAATAATATTATTGTTATTAAAAATATTTGTATCCTATAATTCAAACTCCGGTTTTATTAAACGCAACCCATACAAAATTTTATCAATTTTATTATTACAACAAATTTTTGATAAAGTACATAAAAATATTATTTTTAACAACTATTACTGAAAAAAAAAAAAAAATAGTTTATGACTTCCTATAAATAACAAATATGTTCATGACACCTTAAAATCAACTAGTGTGAAAAAAGTGCTAAGCTTATTTTGTACATATTCTAGAAGATTATCATTTGTTTATTTTAAAATAAGAACTCTTAGATAATACATTATTTTATGCATTATAACTATATAATATTTTATCAAAATTTAAAACCCAAGTTTATTAAAAACTGAATTTTTTTTTGAAGTGATATGTAATAATGACAAATCAAGCGTAAAAAAGTTGGCATAAAAAGAAAATGAAACGTGTATGCATTTATCTGCAAATTGCTTTTGTAGCATTTACATCAAAACAATGTCTTGGAGTTAGAAATGGTTTCGACGGTAAGCTTTATTTGTTTTAAATTAGCTTAGTTTAAATTAAAAACTCTTTTTATTTAAGTTCGTATAACAAAATTTTTCAAATTTATAAAAAAATGAGGTTATACAGCTCCTCAATTAAAAGATTAAACTTGTTTTGACAACTAACAAATCACCTTGTGTTCGATTTTTAGTTAGCTTTTGATTTTGGTTATTTAAATTTAGAATTAATTGTTTGGTTATAAAATTTGTTTTATATAATGGATGAGCAAGAAGAAATATAAAAACTAAATGTTTTGAATAAACCAATATGATGCATTCCATTCATAACCACAAGCCACCCGTAGCTAGTGGTTCGGAGGCTACCTCTAAACATTTCATTAGGGTCTCAAAATCTTAAAAACCCTTCGTTCTTAGATATTAAAAAAAAAAGCTTTTTAAATTAGTAAATGGGCTTGTAAGAGCCTAAAATATATGTCAAAATATATAAAATAATATATGAAAATCAACCGTTAATTAAGTTTAATCGCAGTTTTATTTGGTGATATTATCAAGTTAGAACAAGTTTTTTATTTAAATAAACAAAATCACCAAACAGATCAAACCTTTTTAAACCTTGTGAAAATCATTAGGTTAGAGTGAAAACATAGTTAATATTTGATCGACTCTACAGTGACCTATCCAGGATTTTTTGGTATTTGAGATACCAAAAAATCCTGGATCAAGCAAACTCCAAACATCTTTATGTTTATGCTTACGTTAAATAATGATACTTTGCAAAAAAAAGCCATGATTGGAGGCTAGGAACATAAAAGCTCATTAACTTCATTTACCCCCTCGGGCCCCCATCCTAAACGTGAGGGGTAACAAGTTGAAGGGGCTGCAAATTGTATATGGTCATAATTTTTGAACGCTCAGAGATAATACTATGAAAATTAAAATTTATCGATGAACATAAGTTTAGTTGAGAATGATCTAGTTGAAAGCTGATCAAAAAATAAAAAATTCTGGATCCGTCTCTGCAACTCTGTCTCTGCGTCTCTGTTATAAGGAAGTTTATAGGATGTTCTTTCAAAAAATGTTTTTATTGGATTAACAACTTTTTTTGTTAATTAAGACAATATAATATTTTGTCAATCACAAAAGTACCAAATTATATTAGTGTTCGTTCTTGATACGAAAGTAAGTTAAAGCAATTAAAGCAACTTTTTTTTATAAAAACATTTTTTTAAAAAAGTCACATCCCATGTTTGATTATTTGTTAACAGTGGAAATGCACTTGAGTTTCTAATGTGAGAATCTACTTCTTGAGTGTTTTATGAATCATTGCGTATATTGTATGGATGCAGTAATTTTTCATAATTAAAAATGAAATTCAAAATGAATGAAATTGGAAATTTAAGTAACAAGTAACTTGCAAAGAATAGGCGAAAATAGTGTCGAAAAGATTCATCCTAACGTTTATTGTAATTATGTGAAAGTCTCTGAGCCTGGGTCAATTAATGCGTTTTTATTTGAAGTATAAAAAAAAACTCTTGATAATTTGGATCACGCACATGTAAAAGTTAAACGATAATTTTATTTTACTCGACTAGATTATTTATTTACTAGTCGAGAAGGAAACATCGTAATAGCAGAGCTAATCGAGACGAGTTCCCTTTGTGCCGAAGTATTACTCATACGCTGAGTAGGCGGAGCCGAGATTTGAACCTGCAATCCTGATGCTACGGCCAATATTTATTCCGAACTTTTTAGCAGTGCTTTAACCAAATGAGCTATCCCGGCTCCTTTACGATTAGCTATCCCTTTAGATGAGCTTATCCTGCGATAAGCTTACGATGATTATCCTAACCTACGAGCCTACGAGCTTACCATTATTATCCTCACGATGAGCTTATCCTTTACGATGAGCTATCCTTAGCGATGAGCTATGAGCTATCTCCGCTCCTTAAATTAAGCAAACTAGAGTACACTATCAAATTATTAATAAATATATGAAACCAAGTTATAACGAAGTTATTGTAGAGGTTGATTTTGTAGAAAATTTTAAATGCATTACTCAAAATAATCCACAAAGCTTTTGCTACGACTAGATTCCGACTTCAATAATCAACTCAGTTTTATATAGTTGGTATAAAGTCACTAAAAATTGCATTAAACCATCAGAAACATTCAAAAGAAGCCGTGATTGTATGCCGAAGACCGTTCCACAAGTTATATTTTAGATAGATAATGCTACATCTCAGTTCAAAAATAATTATATAATGGAGTCTTTATAAATGTTACGAAATTTACTTATATAAAAACTATAACGAAATTTACTTATATATATATATATATATATATATATATATATATATATATATATATATATATATATATATATATATATATATATATATATATATATATATATATATATATATATGTATATATATATATATATATATATATATATATATATATATATATATATATATATATATATATATATATATATATGTATATATATATATATATATATATATATATATATATATATATATATATATATATATATATATATATATATATATATATATATATATATATCACGGCTGTTTCAGAGTGGACATACGGCTTCTTGTTATTTTTTGAAAATAATTACTTAGGAGGTGTTACTAAAACTTTCATAACTTTTGAAATATTAAAGATAAATACGTTCTGTAAAAAGAATATGAACACCGAATAAGTGTTTTATATTTTATCATTCATTATAATAATAAATGCTCTGATTTTTAAATAAACGCGCAAAGTGACGAATAGAATTTCGAAATTTTAATGGTACTTTTTTGCAATAATAATCAGAAAAATTATGTTTCTGTTGACTAATATGTAATATAAATATAGTTACACCAATTATAAAACATAATAACATTATTTGCACCCAATGCAAAATGATACAGGCACTACAATAGGCGAAATAAAAAAAATCGCAAATTTTTTTTTATTTTTGCTTTCGGTTGTAAGATAATTTTCGGTTGTAAGATAATTTCCTGACACTTAGATCAATATTACAATATGAATAATTTTCTGTAGAAAAATAACATATTTTTTATAAATATACATAACAATATAGGCAATTTAAATAATTTAATAACTCGTTTTGGTGGATTGACATAAATAACTTTTTTTTAGTTAATATATTTATAAGTAGAAAACGATCTTTGCATGCAATTGATACTTGTTTTATTTCCATTATTTTATGGAAAATACTCTTCATAATCTTACTGACTTAAATGTTAAATGTTGGCGCTTCATACTTTTTCTGGAGTAAGGTTTAACTAAATGATGCCCCATCCAACAATTTATGATGTTTCGTATTAGTTGTCGTTTATTCATGAATGAAAATTTTCTTTATTATCAGACTGAAACAAACTGTTGTGTAACTGCAGAAGCTTATTAGAATCATTTATTTTGTGGATTCTCAAGTAAATGATTAGTTCTTAAGGTAGTATAAACACTCTTTGTACACGCAGTTAGAACTATATTGTATCCCATTCTTTAACCAGAAAGACAAAATTCTTTATGATGGCTGAAACTGTAATGCTTACGTAACTGTTGAAGCAAGACGCAGCTTTAAAACAAGACGCAGCTTCTGTTCCTGATTCTTTACTGAATGCAACTGTGTTAATTCCTGATTAACGCCGCCATGCAAACTCTCTTCTTCTTCTTCTTCATTCAGCATTTCAATAGTTTTATACGATTTAACAAATAGTTGCACATTAAAAGTGAGTTCATGCATTTTTCGCGTAATATTTCAATACGAAAGCAAGCATGAAACTCACAAGCAAATAAATCTGTGTATTGACATAGATCAATAATTTCGGCATCGGAAAGAAATTTTCGTTTTAAAAGAACTGGCTGCAACTTATTAAAAAAACGCTGAACACACGCAAAAGCTTATTTCTAATTGCCGCATCATCAATAACACTACAAAGTTTTAAGTGGTTTCTTAAAACTATTTTGCAATGATTACCAACAAATACATTGCCATGGTAAGTTAGCTGTTGAATATTTATATCATCAAGGGCCTGCAGAAGAGCCTTCTCATGAATGCCTATGTCGCTTCTTAATTTTTTCTCAAGATCCTCGCATTCAATCTGCAATCGTGTATACTCATTATCTATAATTTCTCGTTGTGCGCGCATAAAAGAAATTTTTTCTGAGATATTTATATAAATTTGTAGTATACACAAATTTTGCACTTTTTCATATTAACAAGATACTGAATAATAAAAACCTCGTGTTCGACATTGATGCTTTGCAAATAAGCGTTTTATGTAACAGCTCAATAACATTCAAATGGCATATATGCCATTTGAATGTTAATCAGCTATTACATATAACCGCATACGTCGTAGTTAGGATTAAATAGAAGGTAGCACGAGTATGTTCATTTTAATTCAGCTTTTTTTTAATAAATTACCAAGTTTTAATAAAAATACAAAAAATAAATTTATTATTTTTGTAACACTTTTTAATTTATTTTTGAAAGTTATTATTTTAAAGTATTAAGCTCAGAAGTATTGTTAAAAAATATATAGTTATTTTTCTTTATTAAAAAGGTTTTCCCTTTTCGAATACTTTACCGCTATTGGTTACAAAGTTTTTTTTTCCGATTGCGCCTTCAAATCAACGCCTTTTAAGTTTTTCACGTTTGACTTTCTCAAGCAAGATCTTGAAATATTCAAGTTTCGTTTACGCATTTGCTCAAGTTTTTTTTGAAGTCTAACTTGAAAAAGTCCTACTTCAAAGTTTAAGTCGAACTTCACTGAAGTTTGCTTCTTGCATTCCACCTCAAGTATCGCAACTTTTCAAAGAGTTAAAAACCGGAAAAAAAAATTTAAACTGGATAAAGTATTTCTTTTAAACAGAGTATAAATTTCTGGGTAATGCTACATACAAATGATAGCAAGCTCGCATAACTTATGCAAAGCGTCAATCGATCTCCATACCTAAACAAAAGCGTCTTCTAGTTATTG